CCTCCTCCTCCTCCTCCTCCTCCTCCTCCTCCTCCTCCTCCTCTCTTGTGAAGCTATGGAAAAACTTAGGGGTTTTTGTGCCTTTGCTTACTCCTAGCAACTGTCTTGAGTAGTCCCAGCTGTTTTCTTGGCAAAATTTCCAGAAGTGGTTCACCACTGCCTCCTTCCTATGGTTGAGAGAGAGAGAGTGACTGGTCCAAGGTCATCCAGCTGGCTTTGTGCCGAAAGGAGCACTAGAACTCACAATCTTCCAGTTTCTAGCATGGTACTGTATCCACTACATCGGACTGTCTCACAAATGAGAAGGCTACCAGTCTATTAATTAATTAGGGATTGAATAAAAATAGTATTGGCAAGCCTTGTTTTCATACTTGTGAGTTTGGATGATTACTTAATTGAAAGAATGCCCATTCTCAAATTTTTGAGGCTAGAAAAAAATTAATGCCTTTAAAGGGTAATACTTTATTGGAAGTTCATGGAATTACTGTTAATATTTCATACCCTATATACGCTAAGCTTTCTGTTTATTGAGAGTGACTTTAGATGATCTAGGAGAGATTTTTTTTTAAACAAAATAATGGAATTGTCTAATGGGTTAATATACACTTTTATATAAAAAACTTGAAATATTGAAATGAGAGTTTAGTTGTTCTGTTACAGTATTATACGTAAGTCAGGAAATCTAATAAACTCATACATGGAAGTAAATTCTGTTGTGCATTGCTTCTAAGTAAATGCATAAATTTGGATTATAATTTAGCTGAAAGTATTGCCAATGGAAAAATCATGTCCACAGATTTTCAGTCACCCATGGGTTCCTTTGTGTACAATCACTTAAGATTTTACCAGTCTCAGACATGTGAAAACAAATCCGATAATGTTTCGTGTCAGCACATCATGTGAAAAGTTTTACATGGCCCATAGCTTTCACTAACAAAATGGGAAGGATTTTTATTGGAAGAACTTAATATGAGCCAGGTTTTTACTGCTGCATTAATGTATATAAGTTTGTGTTTTGGAAATTGCATTTAAAACTCTAAATATCATTATGATTCTGTTTTTCCTTAACTGAAGCAAGACATATAAATATATTTCAGATTTAGGCTTGTCTGAACTAAGTTAAGTGCTATGTATGATTGTGTTGTGACCTACAATTTAGCATATTGTTTATGGTTGAAAAATCCATTTTTGCTTAGAAACTAACTTGTATTAGGTTACTTTTTTTTCCAGACTTACTTTTGAATCAGTTATACTAAGCTGAGTGGAACTTATCTTTGAAATAAACATTTTCTTATTGCATGTACAGGTAACCATTGAGATATGATATGTCACTTAGTGAATGTTCAAAGTTACAACAGACACCCGAAAATTACATAGGACCTTGTTTCAAAGTTATGATGGCTACAGCAGCCCTGTGGCCATTCACCCTTATGACCAACTACAGGATGCTGCAGTACCTCACTGACTCTCTCCCTTCCTACACTGCTAGGACCCTGTAGCACTTGGGTCTGCTCCCTACACACCCATCACTCATCGCAATTCCACTTGAAGCTCTCTGGACCCCATGTTGGGGAAGGAGGTTAGTCCACATGTCCCTGGTCTGTGCAGGGGTGACCTGAACACATCCGTTATTTTCTCCTGCCTGCTTGTGGGCTGGGACAAAATGGCGGCTACCATATAAAGTGTTTCACTTTGCTGCCTTAATGAGATAGGCATAGTGCTGCAGAAACCTCTGAAAGCTGCAGAAAGCTTCTACAACATTATGCAGATCTCATTAAGGCAGTAAAATGAAGCAATTGTTGCCTAGCTATGCAGCGGCAACCGAAATACAGCCGCCATTATATTCCACTGACTTGTGGACTGGAACAAAATGGCAGTCGCCAGACAAACTGTTTCATTTTGCTACCTTGACAAGGTCTCCAAAGCATTGCATAAGCTTCTGAATGCTGTAGAAAAACAAAGCAATTTGTCCCTGGCTGTGCGATAGTGACCCAAATGTGGCTGTCATTTTGAGGGTAAGACAAAATGGTTGTTGCTTTGGAAACCACTCTATATGGCTGCATAAAGAAGCAATCCATCCAATGCTCTGGAAGGGCTCTGAAGTGTTCAAAAGATAAGTGAGAAGGACAGTATTTGGCCTGTGGGATGGAATAAGGCTGTAGCATGGGGGGGGGGACTCATGGGAAAAGGCTTGTGGGAATCCAGGGATCAGGAAGCAGAGTTGTTAGGAATGATAGTCACCTAACAGTTGGGTTTGCAATATATAAACCAAGATAGTAATTTAATACTGTATCTTTAAGAGAATGCTGTAATTGTGATTGGCTGAGGTTCTTCCAACAGCCATAAGATGGAGCCAGCAACCTGGTTTCTTTCTTCTTGCATTTCCTGTTTTGCCATATTGCCTGATCATCATTCTTTTGGATTGCTGTGAGTCTTGCAACTGTTA